TAAGAGACTGAGCTGAAAACACCTCAGACTGAGGAAGTCTCTCGGATGAGAGACTAAACGTTTCTATATTTTTTTGTTGATTTGCTTTGATTTGGTTTTTTTGAATGTCCAGAGGACCAGATTTAACTTTTTTAGATTTTTTTACCTGGATTATTGAGCATGCATCAGGACATTTATGAGTAGCAGCAACAAATTCATGAACACTCAACATTTTAGCTTGAAACCATACATCATGCTTCTGTGCTTCATCGACAGGCAATAAAACCAACAAAACCTTGTGTACATTGCACGTTTCTTCAGACAAACCCAAAAATCTTTTAAATTCTTCCTTAATGTCTTTTACACACTTTGTCGTTTTTTAACACAGTAATGGTTTGTCTTAATTTTGTAAGCTTATTTAACTTAGTTTTCCTTTCTTCTTCTAAATTATTTATTTTCATCAACAAAGCTTTGGCTGTTAATTTCACCTTTCTTTTTTCAGTCTCCTTCTGAGCCTTTTCCTTTCCACCCACAGTCATTTTGACCCCGCTGATCCACATCAGTTTGTTCCTTTTCTGCCATAATGGCTGCAAGTTTTGTTTATAGAGAGCTCTCTCTTTTTTATTTTTATTTTTAAAGCAGTCCCGAGCCTGCTACCAATGCATTGGATTTGAAAATGAACCTTTGTGCGCACACATAATTATAATGGCCATTCAAAGACATCAGCGCTGACTCGCATACCCCAATGGTGCGTTGGCCGACTTTGATGCTCTGCGTCCAGATGTTCGCTGCAAGGAATTTTAGTGGCTCCAATAGCTCGATCCATGCAGCTCCATTCACAACGCCTGGGTACCTGCTCACCCCTTTGCACTTCTGGTTCCAATGCCAGGTGTCCCAGTCGCTTGTGTGTGGTTCCAATTCCAACACCAGCTGATGTCTGGTTCCCCTGCACTCTTGTGGCACCGATTCCAACTCCTTATTCCCCTTTGTTGTCGTCTTCCTTTTACCCGGCGGCTCCAATAGCCTCCTCCGGTGTGGGGTTTACTTCACCACTTTGTTGAAACAGTGCAGCAGGATTGGGGGATCTTCTTCCAAATGAGGCAGTTTTCTACCTAATTGTAGAAGCTAAAATCCTATATTTTAGGCTACTGGTTGCTGTTGTTCCTGGTAGGCTTTGGTTTTACGTGCTCTCAATCAAGATTCACTATTGCAGATCTTCATTTAGACTTATAAATCATAAATCATTTATTTTCCTCACAATGTCCATTACATTCCATCCCCTACATTGCCATTCCATTTAGAAAACAAATAAATTTGCCTTGACTCTAAACTAAGTACAGTAGAAAACTGTTTGCCCCTTCTCATTAGCAACACCTGAACAGAGTCACACCTGCCCTTAAGTAATCACCTTCTCCTGCTAACATATTCAGTACACAAAATGAAATACACCCTCTAGTGGAGATAAACACAGAAAAACAAGATAAATGGCTCCTACAAGAAATTTAAACTGAGAGAATGTATCATTTTAAGGGAAAAATCTGTTGTTTCCAAATTTCACTGCGTCAACAAATCTCAAAAAAGTTGGGACAAGTCCATTTTTACCACTGTGTGGCATCCCCCCTTCTTCTTACAACACTCAACAGACGTCTGGGGACAGAGGAGACCAGTTTCTCAAGTTTAGAAATAGGAATGCTCTCCCATTCATGTCTAATACAGGCCTCTAACTGTTCAATCGTCTTGGGCCTTCTTTGTCGCACCTTCCTCTTTATGATGCACCAAATGTTCTCTATAGGTGAAAGATCTGGACTGCAGGCTGGCCATGTCAGTACCTGGATCCTTCTCCTACGTAGCCATGATATTGTGATTGCTGCAGAATGTGGTCTGGCATTATCGTGTTGAAAAATGCAGGGTCTTCCCTGAAAGAGATGACGTCTAGATGGGAGCATATGTTCTAGAATCTGAACATAGTTCTCTGCATTAATGGTGCCTTTCCAGACATGCAAGCTGCCCATGCCACAAGCGCTCATGCAACCCCATACCATCAGTGATGCAGGCTTCTGAACGGAGCGTTGATAACAACTTGGGCTATCCTTGTCCTCTCTGGTCCGGATGACATGGCGTCCCAGTGTTCCATAAAGAACTTCAAATTGTGACTCATCTGACCACAGAACAGTCTTCCATTTTGCCACACTCCATTTTAAATGACCCCTGGCCCAGTGCAAACGTCTGAGCTTGTGGAGCTTGCTTAGAAATGGCTTCCTCTTTGCACTGTAGAGTTTCAGCTGGCAACGGCGGATGGCACGGTGGATTGTGTTCACTGACAATGCTTTCTGGAAGTATCCCTGAGCCCATTCTGTTATTTCCTTGACAGTGGCATTCCTGTTTGAGGTGCAGTGACGTTTAAGGGCCCGGAGATCACGAGCATCCAGTAGAGTTTTACGGCCTTGACCCTTACGCACAGCGATTGTTCCAGATTCTCTGAATCTTTTGATGATGTTATGCACGGTTGATGATAACTTAAAAGTCTTTGCTATTTTACGCTGGGTAACACCATTCTGGTATTGCTGCACTATCTTTCTGCGCAACAATGGTGGAATTGGTGATCCTCTTACCATCTTGGCTTCTGAGAGACACTGACACTCTGAGAGGCTCTTCTTATACCCAATCATGTTGTCAGTTGACCTAATTAGTGTTAACTGGTCTTCCAGCTGTTCATTATATGCTCAATTTCCTTTTTCCAGCCACTTATTGCTACTTGTCCCAACTTTTTTTGGGATTTGTTGACACTGTGAAATTTTGAATCAACATATTTTTCCTTCAAAATGTTACATTTACTCAGATTAAACTTTTGATCTGTCATCTATGTTATATTACGAATAAAATATTGACATTTGCCATCTCCACATCATTGCATTCAGTTTTTATTCACAATTTGTTTAGTGTCCCAACTTTTTTGGAATCTGGTTTGTAGTTGAAAACTGTACGTAGGTGGTGTTCAAGTGTAAAATCAGAGCTGTCAAATTTAATCGTTACTCTTTTTTAGTTGAAAACTGTGCCAGTGGCGTTAAAGTCTTCTCTTCGAGAGCTAAGTAGCAAAGCTATAAGCTAACTACAGCCGGCTTGCCGTAGTGTTACTGTATTCGGACGCATGCACAAAACGCTGTGTTCCGTCAAAAGTTTGTTTGGTTTTTTCCGTCAAAAGTTGAAGTAAGCATTGGTCAGCTTTAGAGAAACCTGCTCTCTGATCTGTGAAAAGAACACTGTGTTGTGTGATTTTACTATGAGACCCTCTGGTCAAAGCCACAGTCATTTTGCGTCAGCTCTCCTTAAAGTGGAAGGAGGCACCAAAGAGAGGGTTGGAGGGTGAATTGTTTCAGTGTAAAATGCTGCTCTGCTGCTGTTCATTTCTTAAGTGAGAAAACTGGAAACTGTTAAGATTTAATATCCTGATACATGCTCAATAATCCAGGTAGAAAAATCCAAAAAAGTTCAATCTGGTCCTCTGGACATTCAACATTTTGGACATCTGGACATTTTGAATGTACAGAGGACCAGATTGAACTTTTTTGGATGTTAAGAGTTAACAACATATTCATTTGTTTAAAACATATGGCTAAAACTACATTTGATATCTTTTGCACTGTTTTGCACTACAATTAAGAAGCCTAATACTTGATTTTTTAATTATTTTAAAACTCTCTGGACCTAGTAGTGGAATTTTCTTAATTCAAAATATATGACAGCAAAAGAACACCCTATGCTTTTTTTAACATTTATTCCTATTGCAAGTTTTATACCAAAAACATTGCAATATATATCGTTATCGCCACCCTTCACAATACATATCGTGATATGAATTTTATGCCATATTGCACATTCCTAATAAATATATATATATTGTAACGCGTTTTAAATCCTTCCCACACTCTTGCAATATTCTAAACAATGTTTCTATACTAAACGCTCTAAAAGAGAACAGAATATCATGATTTCAGCTGAGCTCCCTTCCTCCTCTCAGCCATGCTGCACACAGCCACCTGCAAGCGTTCTTGGTTATATCCGATTCCCCGCTCTGCACGGAGAAACTGCTGATCAGCAGCAGCATGAAGCTTATCCTGCAGTATGGGCTGCACAAAGGCAGGAGGATGCCTTTTCTGCAGCTCTGGGCTGCACAAATGTGCAGCAGGTGCTAAATCATTTAAAACAATTCATTTAAAATAAAAATTCCATGCCAATCATAAGACTCATCCATCAGTCAGCCAATAGTGTGTCATGTCCACTCTTATTTTGAAAAACCATGATAGAGCATGTCCCTGATAAACGAACCGTGAAGTAACAAGGGACTACTGTATTTAAAAAAAAAAAAGTCTTTTATATCGTGAGTTATTTTGATAGAATTGCCGATGTCCAATATTTAACTTTATTGCTAATATTGCCCGATACCATGCAGATAATATTGTGCATCCCTAGTAGCAGTAATCCTAAATGGGATAAAGAGACACAAGTCTTTGTTCAATGATGTTAAATCGGTTCAATGATTCGTAAGATATTTTACTAACAGACAGGGTTGCTGCTAACAGTTAACACCATTTTGCCCAACATATAGTGCAGTGTAATCAGAGGATGTGTTGTGAAGGACTCGACTGCAACTTTATCACTGTGTCATTACGGTATTTGCGCATTTGACTGAGACACATTAAATATTTCTTAAGATCAGTTGGATTTGGTGGCCATTTTGAATTGTGTTGGATTGGATATTTTGCTAACAGAATTAATCCAAAATGGGTCATGGAAAAAATGTAAACCGCAATATAATTTTAGTGCTCATAATATGTGTTGGGCATCAGTCTCCACTACTACATCAAACTTTAGGTCAGTCTTTGACAGATTTGACAGTAATAAGCCTTTAGATTTTTTTTAAGGTTAGTTGGCTATGACGGCCATTTTGAATCAGATTCATTCTATCAAACCAAACATCAACAAGCAGCCAACATTTTTAAGTATTGGTTTGTGTGTTTCAGGATTTTGACCTGGCTGCTGTTTATGTCTCCGACGCCTTGTACAACAGAAACATCTACTTTGACTCCTCCCCTCAGGCTGTCAGGTGAGACTTTCATTGTCTGTTTGGTTATAATCCTCACATAAAACGTGGCCCAAAAATGTCCGCACTCCTGGAGTAGAACGTTCTTAAAGTGGTTTTTATTGTGAGCAGAAACATATTTAAAAAGTAAAACAACCAATAATTTTACTTAGAGGCTGAAAATTCTAACGTTGTGAATGCCTCAAAAATTGTAATTAAGGGCATCTTTTTAAAATCCAGGTGTGGTTTGTGACATTTTTCCTGGCGTTCGTTTTTTTTCTCCTAGCTGAAGTTTGATGATGCGCACAAGTCTGTGTCTGTACGCCAAATGATGATGCTCTGCACGCAGAAGCCCACGCATGGTGGAGCGTACCCATTGCCTTGTTCAGTTCACCATTAAAACAGTGTTGAATTTTAGAGAGAAAAGACCTAGGGAGGTCTGGGTGTGGTGGGAGCATGTGGGTTGATGAGGCATCAGCCTTGGCATCTTCCCTTGTTACAGTGAATTAGTCACATGCAAACTAGAGCCCGACCAATATGGAAATTTTGGCTATCACTAATACCGATGTAGGGAGGGGAAGGCTAATGTCGATAACTGATATAATAGCTGACATTTTTTTTAGCTTTGTCCTCCTCCAAGAATCTAAGTGAACATCTACTTTTAAACCTGTTTTAACACTTGAAGTCTTGAAACTGTCTTCCTAACGTGCGTTCACATTTTCTGTCCTCCACTATTCACCATAAAGTTATCAAGAGTGTTACAAAAATGTAGTATGAACATATGCTGTCATATATTCATAGATAAAACGGATTCTTTCATTTTTCTGGACTGTATAATGTCGTGCATTGAATAATTAAAAATGTGACGTGAGACGTTAATTATCTTGGACTCACCAACGACAGTGGGTCATTTATTAACAGAATCAAGTTTAGCACATCACACATTTACATTAATTGGCAAAAATTGAAAATAACGACAGCTTATTAATCAGTTTTACAGGAAGTAAACAATACGGCGATTGTTTTCTTACTTCCAGCAGTACAACAGACATTAACCACACGGCGGTGGTTGAAAAACTTTGCTTCAGACATTTCTAAAAATATCTGTAATGATTTTTAGCAGATAGAAGAATTTTAAAGATGGGAAATGAAGTTTAAGTTGAGAGAGATGTATGAGGGAATTTGTCTGTTTAACCAGAACCAGCACGCTCCTTCTAGACCAGCTTGGCCCAACGGTACGCTTTGGTTGAGATCGACTCTTTTACCTTTGCAGATGATAGTTTCAGCGTTGGTGTAGAGCTCTCCTTTCAACTCTTTCAGCGTCTCCGTAATAACAGCTAAACCTCGGGAGTCGTGAGATCATCCAGAACAGACATTTCATAATTCCCAGATCTTCTCTCGTTCAGCTTGATTTTTCTTCCTCCAGCATCCTGAATTCCAGCCTTCATGAACTCTGGAACTGCTGTCAACTAGGAAGTGCTGCACCTTTTAAAAAGGGTCACTTCCGGTTCATTTGAGGACTTTCTGATTGGTCGATGGACCAAACAGAGGTGTGTTTTGTGATGTAAGGTGTTATGAAAAGTCAAGGAAAAAGATTAAGATTGTTTAAGAACAGACAGAAGATTGTTATGAAGAACTTCAGACTTCGTGGAGTCACTTCTCCAGTATCTTGCTGTAAAAGTTAAACATGACATTTCTTTTTCAGTAAACTTGCAGTTGACCGAAACTTGAACTTTGACCAACTTACACACTTGCTCATTGAAGACAGAAAATCAGACAATGCACCATTAACCTGATTTCTTCTTTGAATGAGGATTAAAAATCGTTATTACTGTTTCACAGTTGATTTAAAAATGAGTAGTTCACTTCAACATGTAAACATTGTTTGAACTAACACAATTTGATTATCAAACATTTGTAAAATAGTAATGATAATCGAAAGTAGTCTTCTTTCACTTGATTAATTTAAGAAAGAAAGTCTCAGGATGGGTCAACCTGTATTTCTGGATTCAAATCAATGAAATGACAGTTTCTGTCCCATAAGGTGCCTAAGGTCAAGGTTTTGACATCAGGCCTAGTTCACTCCAAAAATATAAATTAAACAAAGAAGCATCCTTCCCTTTTCATTGTTTCAACAGTCAGTCATGTATGGTGAAGTTTTAGGTCCCACCCTTTTTACAGTTTATATAAATAATTTTGGTCTAAACATTCCTGACGCATCCTTTCATCTCTATGCTGACGACACTGTTGTTTATTGCCGAGCTAACACAGTTGCCAAGGTTTTCCAGCTTCTACAGTCTGCACATCATTCAGTCCGACTCATTCCATCTCAAGCTGGTGCTAAATGCTGACAAAACCAAAGGGGTGTTGTTTTCCAACAGAAAGTCTGTGCCAGCAACTCTTCCTCCTATCTCATCCATGCATGGTGTTCCTATTGAGTTTGTAGATTCTTACAAATACTTGGGAATTCTGGTCGATGCACATCGTTCTTTTAAACCACATATTGAAAACTTGATAAAGAAACTGAAATTAAAATTGGGTTTCTTTTTCAGAAATAGATCTTGCTTAAGTCTGAATGCCAGAAAATGCCTTGGAACCGCTACCTTCCTACCAGCCATTGACTATGTTGACATTATTTACATGAACGCCCCTGCTAGCTCCTTGCAGATGTTGGATGTTGTCTACCACAGTGTGCCAAGATTCATAACTGGTTGTAACTACTGTACCCATCACTTCACCCTGCCCTCCTTTGTCAATTGGTCATCATTGTCTACACGTAGGCTCTCACACTGGTTCATTTTAATCTATAAATCCCTCCTTGGTCTGCGACCTTCTTATATCTCCTCCTACATGCCATGCTGTCAGTGCAGTTACAACATGCACTCTCAGTCCATCATTACCTGCAGCGTTCCCTCAGTGTGGACTAAACTTGACAAAAAGGCCTTTTCCTACTCTGCTCCTGCAACCTGGTGTAGTATGAACATATACTGATATATATTCATAAATTAAACGGATTCTTTCATTTTTCTGGACTGTATAATGACGTGCATCTGAATTTAATAAAATGTGACGTGAGACGTTAATTATCTTTGACTCACCAACGACAGTGGGTCATTTATTAACAGAATCAAGTTTAACACATCACACATTTACATTAATTGGCAAGAATTGAAAATAACGACAGCTTATTAATCAGTTTTACAGGAAGTAAACAATACGGCGATTGTTTTCTAGCTAGCAGCAGTACAACAGACATTAACCACACGGCGGTGGTTGAAAAACTTTGCTTCAGACATTTCTAAAAATATCTGGATTAATTTCTACTTGATAGAAGAGTTTTAAAGATGGAAAGATGAAGTTTAGAGGGAGAAACAGATGGATGAGGGAGAATGTTTGTGTCAGCATCAGAACGGCACTCTCCGGGTTTTCCCCAGCTTCTTCCCTGGTACACTTAGGTGATAGAAATCTCTTTTACCTGGAGATGTCTCCCTGATACGAAATTCCATTTAACGCGCCCTTTCAGTGTCTCCGTAGGAACAGCTGTGAATCGTCCGAAGTAGTGACGGTACTTGTTCGACACAAATTCACCTCACGAGTGGACTTCACATGAGTGGAGTCCGTCAGAGTTCCACTCAGAGGTGGAAGATATCATAATCCCCAATACTCGAAAGAGCTTTGAATCATGGCTGGACTTCTGTTCTCCCAAACGACTGGAGCTCAACTCCCAACTCGACCCCAAACTCGACTGGGTTGAACTAGGAAGTACCAACCTTTAAAGAGCTCTATTTCCGGTTCACTTGGGAGTTTCCTGATTGGTCGTTTCAACCAGACAGGGGTGTGTTTTTGTGACGTAAGAGGTCACTAGGAGTTAGAAAAACAGCAAGAATGTTATGGAACAGATTGAAAATGTTTTTCAGACAGACGAGAGGAATATTTGAATGTTAAAGGAAAAATCAAAGCAAATATGTTCTTGTTTTTAGTATTTCACCCTGTTTTATTGTTTTATACACTACTCTTATTTTAACTGTATTTTTACTGTAGTTTATTGTTGTCATTATTTACTGTTGTTGTCTGTACTTTATATGTTCTGTCTGAAACAGGTCCCTCTTGTAAATGAGTCCTCGTGGCTCACTGAGACTAAACTGTATAAATAAAGTTTGAATGAATGAATTAAGTTCTAATTAGTATTGACCACAGCTGTGTTTTTTTTTTTTTTTTTTGCAGAGAAGTAAAGATTTCAGACAAACAATGCATTTCATTGATGACAAAGATAACATATTAAGATATTTTACCTTTACGTTAGATTTATTGTTCAGGATAAAGCTTTACAGGGCAATAGCCTTTGCTAGGTTATCTAAATGTTAGCTTGCTAACTTGAGAGGCACATAGCTAATGACAAGCAGGTTGGAGGATTGAAGAGAATTTATTATTAAAAAGTTTTTTTATTTTACAGATCAACTAAAATAAACTTAAACATGCTCTGTTTAGCAAAATACGCTATGCTCCCTGCTTCAGCTGTGCTGAAAGTGAAAGTTAAAATGAACGGTCATGACTTGAAAGTAGTCCACATGTTGGATACAATGCTCTGCTGGATAATTGTATAATTACGCCTTTTGCAAGTAAAGAACACAGCTCGTTCCCTGTGTTTATATCGGTGCATAAGGGGCCAATTATCACCGATACAATATGTCCCCAAACGCCTATATTGGCCTAAAATATAGGCCCTACTGATACTGTATATTGATCGGGCTCTAGTGCAAACATGTACAGAATTGCATTAATTTAATACATGCCAAGATCTTTGTTTTTACTTGTAATATTTTACTTGCTTTGCAAATGAAGTGGAACATAATTTCTGCACATCTATTAAGATAAAAAGAACTTTGATTAAAATTTTGAATTGATGTTCTCAAATCTGAAACATAATGTAGATGAACATATTGTCTGTGAAGGCAGTGTTTTTGTGTGTTTTTCCAGGCTGTATCTCCTCTACAATCACTGGGCCTTAAAGGTGCTGCTCTACTTCTTCATTATGGTCAATCTCTGTCTGGCCATTTTTGAGGATCCGGCTGTCTTCGCTCTTCCAACATGGGTACGATGGTTACTTCTGCTTGACAATATTAACATAGCAAGCCTTAGGCATAAATGAAGACTGCTTGGGGGCCCCAGGCTAGAAAGACCACCCAAGAGCGCTTTAATATTTGCAGTTTAATCTACATTTACTTCTAACCAGAATGACAGGGTGAAAAACAAAGCCTAGTTTATTAATGCATGCTTCCTGTGTCTTTGTGCACACTACAACCTTTTTGTTGTTAGATCTTAAAAAGTAGTTGACAACTTTCTCAAGTTTCTTCACACACTGCAAAGTGCATTCAAAAAACGTTCAATACAAATACAACTGGACTTTATTTGTAACAGAAGACGTTTCGCTCCTCATCCGAGGAGCTTTCTCAATTCAAAAAGCAGTGATTGGGGGGTTCAGGTTATAAGGCTGAGTGAGATAAGATACACACACATATGTAGATTTGACAATTCACACCTTAACAGTTCGGGTTTCTTAAGGTGCTACTCTAATTCACAGATGAGGCCCCTCTTTTCCCATCAGGTGTGAAAACTGGCTGGGAATCAGTCTTGGGGGGCCGTTTACACGGCGCGTATTTTGAGTGAATCCACAGGTTTCTCTCTGCGGTTCTGCTGATCATTTACACGACACCAGTGGCTCCTCTTTTTGAATCAGGAGGTTTCTGAACCCACCTTCCAGAGTGGAGGTTTTTCGCTGACCACCCGCTGATAATGTAAACATCTCCCGTTGAGGCTTTGTGTTAAAGCACATGCGCACACGCACGTGCGGGCCGACGGCATATTTCTATACCATACCATACCATTTTATTTATAGAGCACTTAAAACAGCTACAAGGCCAAACAAAGTGCTGTACAGACAGAACAACGGACAATACACAAAGCAATATACAAAATGAAGTAAATCAAAAATATAGACATAAAAACGATGCAGATAATAAATATGATGAGTTTATTAATAATAAACAGTATTTATCTTAAGTTTGAGATATAATGAAGCTATCTGGACATTATGTAATTCAAATTATGTGATTAAAATGATGCTAAACATATTGCACGTTATTAAAGTTGAAAATGAAGACCTCAGATTTAATTTTTATTTTGTTTATTCAACACCACAAACTGTATGTCACACAAACACTGATAATTAAACTGAACACACTATTAAAAACAAGTTAACTGTAAACTGCATTAATGAACTGGACTCTTGTTTTCATCCTGGAATCTGGTCCCACGTTGTTCATCTGGCTCGTTCAGGCTGTCACTCCTTTGATTAATGCAGCTTAAAACATTGAATGGACTGAATAAAAGAAATGAGGGGAATTTTAAATAAACAGTTCATCCAACATCTCTCTCTTCCATGTCCTCCTGCATTACACCTGGGCCGAGCCTCGTTCAGAACCAGTCCGCCTGGTGGAGGACAGCTTCTTCTTCTTTCAGGAAGAAATAAAAACTCAGTTGGTTGTTTTGTAACCGAAGTAAACACAAGCAAACATTATAAAGAACATTTGATTTACCTGCAGCAAATCAGCTACCGATTATCACGGAGTAAAGTCCGACATAGTCGACTTGGTTCTGGTCCACTCAGCGACCGGTGTGGAGCTGTTAGATGAAGCGGTCTCGCTTGGCATCAAATCTGTCGACTCTTATCCAAAATCCAGTATTTTTTTTCCCCAGAGTCTCTTTTTGCATATCTTCCGAATTGTAAGCTATGGATTGGTCAGCTGGTCTCTCAACACAATTGATCAAATGTTCTCAACAAGAAGACGGGGTGAAGAAGAGCCTTCTTATTTCGACGGAACACTATTCCTGGGGGATGTACATAATTGGATTTATGATAATCAGGATTTCTGCCCTTTTGGAGCTGGTGGTCACCAAATTATTATTATTATTATCAACAAATTATGAAGAATGTGCCGTGCTTGGCAACACTCGGGATTATTCTGTGTGAACTATTTCTGGACCTGTATCAGATTTGAGCCGGCTGATAGACGTGCCATCTTTTATCAGGACTATGGAACATTCTGGCAGTGTTCATGGACGGTGGGAAGAAATAGAGCTCGGAGAAGTTGTAAGCTCAACTCTGCGTATGTAATCACAATTTTGGCTGTTTGGAGTTGCCATGAGATGAAATGTACGAGTGAGACTGTAAAAGCAGATGGAAATTAACAGAGCTCGCCTGACCCAAAACAAATGTTGATATCTGAATCTGGCTTTGGCCTTGGATGACTGACTATCTCAATTTCTCCTTGATGTTATGGAAACAAGACGCACTGCCTCCATGCAATGCACGGAAGGCACCTATTATTCTACACCTAAGCGTTTCTGTATTTTTTATTTATTTTTATTCCGTCACCGTTAATGTGGCCCGAACCGCAACGTGTATCCCCACAAAAGTTATATCAAAACAACCGGCTCAATCTCGAGAAGGGAGCTATTACTTTTATTGGCAATCGGAGTTACCATGGCGACAAATTTTGCTAACAAATATGCCATTTTCCCCATAAGAAATGAATGAGAGAACACTCCTCATTAACTGCTGCTGTCAAGTCACATGGCTTAAAAGTGTAAAGGTCCCTGAAGAAAACAGAAACTCACTGTTGGATTTGTTTGAAACTCCCAAACATTAATCATCAGATAAATGCCTAGAACTAATTAATGCTTGGAGACATTTTGTTTCAAGATGGCTGCCACAGCTACCTCAGCAAACACAAAACATTGGTTACGTACTGTAACCCCAGATTCTATGAGTATAGGCGCAGCCCTTTAAAGCTATCGCTAATGGGTTTATCCCTTCGCGCACAGTTCAGCACTGAAAACTTTAGTCCACGCCCACCAGCTGTGTGGGCCCCATCCCCGGTCCGTATAAATTAGACCGGATAATCGGCTCCCAAATAGCTTTTTTCTTCAGCCGTTTAGGAACCAGTGAGGCCCAGAGCTTAAAGGGCTATACTCATAGAATGGTACGTAACCGTTCTATTTCGTATAGGCTTTGCCCTTTTAACCTAGTGGGTTAAAGGTGAAGCAGGATGTAGTCTATGCCTCACTGGGTCCATTCAGACTCAAAACATGAAGCACCTGCTCGCACAAAACACATTTCATCACTCAGCCTTCTGTGTGTGTAATTACGCGCTCCATGTACAATAGCGCACCGGAGAAAAAAAAGATCTCTGGTGAAAGAAGGGCTGAGATACCTGCTGCTGTGAATAGGAACAACGGAGGTTACAATTTGTAACAGTGTAACGATGAGCAGAGCGGGCTAACAGCTCCTCAGGACAAACAGATTAATAACAACATCAACAGACATGAACTGTGACTGATAATAAATATCTCACACTGCGACTGAATGCAAGCAGGTGTGAGCCCAAAATGAGGCTCCATGGAAAAAAAAAATCATTCTGTCAGAACCCTGAGAACAGAAGGGGTCATGGAGAAAGTGTTCACACATCACATAGATAAAAATGAATAAATGAACATGGAGAAGACCAGGCAGCCGCCGTACAAATATCCTCCACTGTCATCCCTCCATGCAGAGCCGAGGAGAATGAAATCCCTCTGGTGGAATGTGCTCTGAGATTCTCCGGAGAATCCGGCCCAGATGAACTGTAAGCTTCAGAAATAGCCTCACACAACCAGTGTGAGAGGCGCTGAATGGATAGAGGACGTCCTGCAGAGCTGTCCCTGTAATGAACAGACGCTGAGAGCGGCACAGTGCGGCTGTGCGCGCCACGTAACACAAGAGCGCACACACGGATCAGAGGAGGTGAGGTGTTGCTGCTTCCTCAGAATTATCAGGAGGAGGATAAAACCCATCCAAGGTTATCACTTTCAATCTGAATGAGCTTGTGTTGCTTTCAGGAGTAAAAGCAGGATTAGGACGCAGTACAGCTGAACTGTCGTTGGCTTGAATTCTGAGACATGAGGGAGCAACAGAGAGAGTAGATAAATCACTCACTCTCTTTGCAGATGTGAGAGCTAACAGCAGGGCTGTTTTAAATGACAGAAAAGTAAGTGAAACGTGATCTAAAGGCTTAAAAGGATCTTTAATCAGAGCGTGCAAAACCATCGCTAGGTCCCACTGTGGGGCTAGTGGGCATGACACAGGTCTGTGTTTCCGTACACCTTTCAGAAAATGCTTCATCTGTGGGTGGTTAAAGACTGTTCTGTCACCGAAACCCTCATGATAGGAAGAAATAGCTGCAGCATAAGTTTTAATTGTGCTGAACGCTAAATTTCTGTCCATCAGCTGCTGCAGAAATAACAGCACGCCATCTAGTGAACATGAGATGGCCTCCACACCTTTCTCTGCGCACCAGCGCTGAAAAGCTGTCAGCTTTGATGTGTACAGCGCTGTGGTGGAAACGGCTCGTGCGCCCTGGATCGTACGCACCACATCCTGTGGGAGGCCCAGCCTTTCTAAATGCATCTGTTCAGCAGCCAGACCCAGAGGTGCTGACCTATTTCTGGTTAGCTCCTGATCGCTCCTCCTGCCTAGAGGAGCGCATCCTCCCTCCATGGCAGTTTCCACGGCTGGCCCAACACCAGTTGCTGCAGGTTCGGGAACCATGGGGCGCTTTTGCGCTCGGGAGCTACGAGAATGACTGACGGCTCTTCCTCCCGAACTCGGTCCAGGGTCCGTGAGATCAGCGGAACTGGAGGGACAGAACAAAGGAGTGTTTTTGGCCATGGGCTGTGAGCAAAGGCTTCTGCCCCTAACAGTGGGTCGTCCCATGGGCTCAGTGAGAACCATAACTGACACTGGGCGTTCTCCCATGTGGCGAACAGATCCACGGCTGCTTGGCCGAACCTGCTCCAGATCCGAGAGATCAGCTCGGGATAGAGGCTCCAGTCCCCGTGACGAGGTCCGCCCCTTGACATGATGTCCGCTCCTCTATTCAGGATGCCGGGAATGTACACTGCTCTGATGGAGAGCAGGTTTTTGTGTGCCCAGCACAGCAGCTGTCTCTCGATGTGTAACAGTTGCACTGAGCATAAGCCTCTCTGATGGTTTATGTAGGCTGCTGCCACTCTGTTGTCTGCGTGGATCAAAAAATGCTGATCCCGCAGCAGAGGAGCAAAATGCTGAGTCACTTTCCAGACTGTAAGAAGCTCCAGCACATTTATGTGAAGAGACCTGTGGTCTGGCCACTGTGTTCCCAACACCTGGGGAATACGAGTTCCTCCCCAACCTGACAGGTCCATGAAAACTGAGACATGTGACATAGGCCTGCTGATGGGAACTCCCTCTGACAGAATGAGGGGATTTCCCCAGTGGTTCAGATTGGTGAGATCATCCGTCTCTTCTGGCGCATAGGAGCTATGCGCAGGTGGACGAACCATCTCTGTAGGCATCTCATGTGAAGCAGGCCCAGTGGAACCACGACTTGAGCCGCTGACATCATCCCCAGGGACTGCATGACAGACAGAACTGTCACTGCAGGTTTTGACACGGCGGAGCTGAGCTGACAGAGCGTCGGCTCTCGGCTGTGATAAATGGGCTCTCATTGTGGTTGAGTTTAGCTCCACTCCCAGATAAACAATCATCTGGGACGGGAGAACAGAACTTTTTCCCCAGTTTATAGAAACATCCAGGTTTGGCAGGTGTACCGCTAGCGTTTTGGTATGCACGGCTGCTTCCGGCATGGACCGAGCTAATAAGAGCAGATCGTCCAGATAAAAAAGGATTCTCATTCCCGCCATGTGGAATGGCTGCAGAGCCGTCTCCACGTATTTTGAGAACGTGCGTGGTGCGAGGGAATAACCAAACGGTAGCCTGTTGTACTGATACGGAATTCCCTAGAAGTAGAAATGCAGGAATTTTCTGTGTTTCGGAATGATGGGAATGTGAAAATATGTATCTTTCAGATCTATGGAGGTGAACCAGTCGTTAGCTATTTGATTGTCAGCATGTTGAATTGTCTCTCCATGATTGATTTGTTGAAGATAGACATGTCGAGAATGGGTCTCATCCCTCCTGTTTGTTCTCGGAACCAGGAAGTAGCGGGAGTAAAATCCCATGTTTTCCTCTCCATTGGGAACTCTGGAAATTACGTTTTTTTTATTAGGAGTTCCTGAGCTTCTAACTGGAGAGACGAGCTCTGTTCTGGAGATGACAGAACCGTCTCTATAATCCCTCTGAATGATTGGGGGTGAGCTGCGAACTGCTGTGTTTAACCCCTGCTGATCAGTCTGTCCATCCACCTGTCCAGCCAACACACTCGCTGCCACTTTGAGTAACTCTCGGAGAGTGGGCACGCATTTTTGTGTTGTGTCATGGTTCTCATGGACATCAGCCAAGCTAGAGCCCCTACCGCCATCACCCGCTTCGGAGATTCTCTGGGGGGGACCCAAGGGGGGTTCAGACAGATAGGGCTGTCTGTACGCCTCTGTGCTGTGCTCAGGCTGCGGGCTCACATTAGAGCTGAGGTGAGCCGGCGTGCACTGAGAGAAGGCGTGGGTGCTTTTTTGAATGAGACGCTGTTTCGGTGGTGGGGCTCTGCTGCTGCTGTGGAGAAACGCATTTACTCCCGTTGCGCGGTGAGTGGGCAGAAATGGCAAAAAAATAAAATGGGCTCTGGCTAAGAGCAAGGGATTTCCCCAGACTCAGTCTGCTGAAAAACATAATTTTTAGATGACGTGGCAGACGAGTGTTTTGTGAGATTTACCGAGCTGTGGTGCCTTTTTAAAACGCTGTTTAGAGGTTACCGGCTTGTTCTATGTAGGAAATGTGTGAAGAGAGTCATTTGTGAGATCAGTTGATCTGACAGTCGGGCTGGAATCAGATGAAACTTTGCTCTCTGAGAGATGTTTTTGTTTTATTTCAAAACATACATCATCAAAAACACACACATTCCCCTCAAGGTGCTGTTACTGGTGGAGGGGGCCGGTGGAGGAGCAGAGTGTGAAGTCGCTGTTGCAGATGTGGAGCGCCTCTGCTACTGTCGCTGGCCACGGCGGTCCCTCCAGTGGCCAGAGGAGCGGGAGGAGGACTGTGACGTCACCAGATGGCGTACCGTCTCTGAGACCTCCTCGGTCCTCTGCGATTTCTCAAGGATGGTCCTGAAGTTGGCCCCGAACAGCGCATCTGGGATGATTTGGCCCTCCAGCAGGTCCCTCTGCAGCCTCTCGGGCATGAATGGTGAGAGGCAGAGCCAGGTGGTCCTCTGAATCATGGTCATCCAAGCGGTGATGCAGGACAGACAGACTGCAGCGGTGGCGCACAGATTGAGGATGACGTTGGCGGCTTTACAGAGAGAGCTCTTTGTCTCCTCTGGCAGGTCTGCTTCCTCCAGCCTCTTCGAAATGCTGAAGGCCAGCAGGGTGACATTGTTGTTCGCTGCGGCCGCCTGGAATAAACACTAATGAGCTCGTTTGGAGAGCTTTGTGATGGTCTGGTCATGCTTCCCTGGAAGGACAGGTCGCTAGTCCATCCTGGAAGCCTTTGCCCCTAACGCCTCCACAAAGCTTGGATCCAGAGGGGGAACCGAGGAAAATCCCCGCTCGGTAAAGTCCTCCACTCTTGTGATGGGGGCGAAGGTGGAGACGGACGCCTTCACCTTACCGGGCCCAACTGCAGCCTTGTTTCAGTATGATGTCACAGCTGGAAAGCGGGGCCAGATGGGGGCAGGGTGACAAGCCGGGGCGGAGCCAAACCTGCCCGCCAGATCATTCAATTGGGGCAGAAGGAGGAGAAGGACAGAAAGTTCCTTTGTGTCAGCAGCCTCCTGGATTATGCTGGGCAGTTCCAATTGGAGGGCGCCGACGTATGGGAGCGAAGTAGTCACCGACATGGGAAGACCTGAGGTGGCTGAGCATCCACTCGGCTGTCCATTTTCCGTCACTTTGCTCTCCAGAAGGGAGGGAGCTGCCAGCATTGCCTTTTTCATAGGAATCTTCCGATTCACTGCGCGGCTCTGCGTTAGAAAAGGCGATGACGTCCAGCGAGTAGTGCCCCGCCACGGAAAAACACTCCTCGGCACTTACCTTGAACAAGGCTGCTCGTCTGTGCTTCTCCTCAGGAGGGAGGAGATCACAGGGACGGCAGGAGTTGGCGAGGTCGACGTGGCGGAGACCCAGGCATCCTTCGCAGATGTTGTGCTGGTCAAAGCTTATGATGTAGCCGGTCTGGCAGGACGGGCACAGGCAGATGGTGCTGGCGCTGGACATGGTCTTCTTCGCTCTTCTGACAGTGCTAGCTGGCTGAAGAAAAAATGGGAGCCAATTTTTTTTCACTATATTTATATGGACCGGGGGTGGGGCCCACACATCCGGTGGGCGCGGACTAAAGTTTTCAATGCTGCGCGCGAAGGGATAAACCCACTAGTGATAGCCTTAAAGGGCGAAGCCTATACAAAATAGAACTGACTATAATTCTGTCATTCTTTGAGCTATTGAGGTGAAATTTATTATGGTTGTAGTTGAGAACGAGTCGTTATAAATTTCTAATGCAAATCAAATATCCAAGATGGCTGCCTTAGCTAAAATAAAAAAAATATAACTGGCATTTTTAGAGCGATTCAGCTGAAATTTGGTAGAGTGGTAGCTGAGAACGATCCCTATCACATACTGAATCCAAATAAAACATCCAAGCTGGCTACCTTAGCTCAAAAGGAAAAAATATGATAACTCTGGCAGTTTTAGAGTGATTCAGCTGAAATTCGGTATACTCATAGCTGAGAGCGAACCCCAACACATAGTACTGTCAAATCAACAATTTAAATTGGCAACGGCCTGGCAGTCCCCATCAAAGTTTCTCCAGGAACTTTCTAGTTATTATTATTGTTACTATTTATTTATTTATTTATTTATTTAACCATGATGATTTAGTTACAGCTGTTACCAGTGTCACTTTAAATGTAAAGGTTTAGTCATGTGTTGAAATGACAACCATGGAGAGTCACTTCTTTTTAACACAGATTAGGTCAAATTGAAAGGACTGCAAACACAAAGTGTCTTTTTAAGGTGTTCATCCACCGTGGTGTGAATATGCTTAGTACTGATTTGGTGAAGGGATTGAACACGTAAAAACCCCATTTGTTGGTTTAATTATGCCGATGAAGAGCTCTGGCTATCACAGCAATCATTAGGACACAAATGTTTCATCAAAACAACTTTGTTTTTGTTTCTATTCTAAAGACCCATCGTTTTAATTGGCTGCGGGATTCAAACCCCCATCTAATTTAAATTGTGCCAGGAAAGCAGAACAGAGCCATCAGACTGTTTTACTGTCAAGAATTCAAGGCCTGTAATGTTCTCTCAGTCCTAGTGATGTTTACACTGATTATTTTTTTTGTAAAATGTTTTCTTTAGACTTGCCGTGTGTTGGATCAGTGTTGTCTTCTGGTGCTTTCAGGCCACCATGCTGGTGGAGCTGCTGTGTGTGCTTGTTTTCACCTTTCGACTCATTCACTACGCCAAGGTGATTCCTCGAGACAAGTTCTGGAAGGACCCCAAAAATATCTGCATCATGGTCATTCTGCTGGTAGGAAGCTTTGTTTTCATGAACTGTCTTTTTAGTGTTTTTAAAAGGTGTTTTAGCTGAGTCCACATTAATTGTTTATTTTATTTGAATCAGAACCTCACGGGACTTGAATTAGAATTAGAAAGTTCAAGACGATATTTTCAGAAGAGATGAATTTCAGAATTGTCCGTTTGTCCCACTACTGTTTTATTTTGCATTTTTTTGTGATAAAGGTCTGTTTTGTCATGATTTTATTCATTACATTTGATTACAAGACATTGTATGGGTACGTTTTTCTTTGCTTTTTGGCTTGCTCTACTTGGTCTTTGGACCTGTTGTGGTCACTACGGTAAGTTGATGTTACACTCAGAATGAAGCTGTGTAAATCAGCCGATGGCTGTGAAAGCTCTGTTTCACCTAGGTGCAAGACCAATTAGGCATAAGTCAACAGGAGAGTTAAAATATATATCTCCTGTGATGCACAGGAAGCCAGTGAAGTGAGGACAAGACCGGTGAAATGGGCTCAAACCTACGAGTTCTCATTAAGAGACGAGCAGCAGCATTTGGAGACGTGAAAGGGAGACCTGACTGACCCCAACATAAAGTGCATTACAAGAATCAAGTCGGGTTGTGATAATGAAACCTTAAAAAAAAAGAAAAACACAATTCAATTACTCAAACAGAAAATATAGATCCTAGAGCACACTAAACTTTATTTGGTGGAATAAGATCAAATAGATCGCTAACCTTTGAATCACATTTTCTAAAAATTGCCAAAATGCACCAAGTTTGGATGCATGCTCAGTAATCAAGTTAGATGAATCGAACAAGGTTGAGTCAGGTCCACTGGACAGATTCTTCCAAAGAATCACTTTTCATCGTGTTCTGTGTCGATCATGGTTTTATGGATTTTAAATTTTTAGTGAAATTTGGTCTTTTCCAATGAAAAGTGATGTGAAGCAACAGTGACGTCCAAAGCCTCAAACATTATCACGTGATAGTATTTTTTGGATTAGAGGCCGACCGATGTGGAAATTTTGGTTATTGCTGATATTGGGAGAGGAAGGCTAATGCAAATAACCAATAAAATGGCTGAAGATGTTTTCGCTTTGTTCACCCTCACGAATCGGAAACAGCGAGTGGAGCGGGGCTTGTTTATTTAGAGCAGCTGTTAGCGACCATGAAGCTAAGCTAATCAGATCCACACTATACATAGTCCCACAGAAGGTTTACAAGTGGTGCTCTGGTCATAAAAACAGTCTTCCTAACGTGCATTCACATTTTCTGTCCTCCACTATTCACCATAAAGTTATCACGTGTGTTACAAAAATATAAATTAAACAAAGAAACACCTTCCCTGTTAATTGTTTCAACAACGTATGGTGAACGTCTAATTACTATTGACCACAGCAGAGTTTTTATTTTGTAGAGAAGTAAAGATTTCAGACAAACGATGCATTTCATTGAGGACAACAAGGATAAAGTTACTAACACTGATGTATATTTACTGCTACATTAGATTTATTGCTCTGGATAACGTTTTACAAGGAAATAGCCTATGCTAGGTAAGCTAAACGTTAGCTTGTTAACTTGAGTGGCACGTAGCTAAAGACAAGCGAGTTGGAGGATTCAAGAGAATTAATTATTGTTGATTTATTTTGCAGATCAGTTAAAATAAACTTACCGTGCTCTTTTCAGCAAAATACACTACACAGTATTGCTCCTTGCTTCGGCTGTACTGAAAGTGAAAGTTAAAGTGAACGGCCGTGACTTGAAAGTACTCTGCATGTACCCACCATACCGATACGCCCCCAAACACACTTATCAGCCTGTAATATTGGCCCTACCAATATATCGATCTAGTTTTGATACAAGCTGTTGAAACGATGGTGAAGGTTTTGAAACTTGAAGAAAATAAATCATCACACAATATTGCATAAGATATTTGTTGTGTTCAGTCAGCTGTGTCTAAGCTCAGGCAAACAAACAAAATCAGAAAGTTGTCCAAGGGAAGCGTCCTGCTGGACCAAGGAAAACGTCAAAGCACCAAGATAGAAATCTCAATGCAAATGTGTTGGAGGAAAATAAAAGAACAACAAAACAAACGAGAAACAAATGAGAAACTGGGTGATCTGTAAGAAATAACCTAAAAGTAATTAAATTTATGTACAGAAAAGTCAAATGAAAGACATAAACACCCAAACAAATCTAAGTCGACAGTGGGCTATAATCAGCCAAGGACTGTGACTGACTGCAAGTGTCCTGTCAGGCAGTCAATACATCTCCATTAAATGCCAAAGTGTAATTTTGGACCTTCTCTTTGTTCCATCAATTGATGGGATGTTTGGTAACGATCGCGTCATTTTTCCAGATGTTTCTGAATCTTGCCATCGGGCAAAGGACGTGAAAACGTTCCTTCAAGAAAGATATACAATGTTAACAGCATGTCCTGAACCACATCTCAATCTTCCTGGCTCCTGCTTACATGCCCCCGCTGAGACGCTCCAGACCGGTACAAAAGAAAGTTAAATGCTGGATCCAGGACAGTGGCCCCATACTGAGAGATTGTTTTGATCGAACAGACTGGCAGGTTTTCAGAGAAGCTGCTGAAAATGGAGGTTCGCTTGATCTTGACCAATACACATCCTCAGTACTGGGTTACATTAGTACATGTACTGACACAGTCTCCACTATCAGATATGTTAAAAGCTACCCAAACAGAAAACCTTGGCTGAATGCAGAGGTGCGTACCCTGCTGGAAGCCAGGAACACTGCCTTCAGGTCTGGAAACTCAGAGGAGCTGAGTAGGACAAGAAAAGAGCTGGTTGCTGGTATTAAGAGGGCCAAGGCCACATATGCAAAGAGGATCGAGGGTCAATTCATCTCACAAGACCCTCGGAGCATGTGGAGGGGCATTAAGTGCATAACAGATTATAAAGGAAGGAGTGAACAATGTCCCAAAGACCCATCTCTGCCTGATGCCCTCAACAAGTTCTATGCACGCTTTGAAGACCCGAACAGACCACCCAGCACCAGACTCACCTCACCACCGGATGAAGAGCATCTCAGCGTGACCTCAGCAGAAGTAAGGAGTACCTTCAGGAGGATTAATCCGCACAAAGCAACTGGCCCAGACAACATCCCCGGAAAAGTGTTGAAGGAATGTCCTGATCAGCTCAGGGAAGTGCTAGCAGACATCTATAACACCTCACTTACCCTGGAGACAGTTCCCACCTGCCTGAAGACTGCCACCATCATCCCAGTCCCAAAAAGCTCTACAGTGACTGGTCTGAATGACTATCGGCCAGTGGCCCTCACCCCGATAGTCGCTAAATGCTTCGAAAAACTGGTCATGACTCACATCAAAACAACCATCAACATCAACGAGGACCCTCATCAGTACGCATACCGTGAGAACCGATCAACAGAGGATGCAATCTCCTCTGTGGTCCACACTGCACTCAACCACCTGGAGCAGAAAAACTCTTACGTCCGTATGCTCTTTGTGGACTTCACATCCGCCTTCAACACCATGATCCCCCAAACCCTGATGGACAAACTATCCACACTAGGACTAAGCCCCTCCATCTGCAACTGGGTACTAGACTTTTTAACAAACAGACCACAGTTAGTGAGGATCCACAACCTCTCCTCCTCCACCATAACCCTCAGCACTGGCTCTCCTCAGGGATGTGTGTTGAGCCCCCTCCTGTTTACTCTGCTCACGTATGATTGTGCAGCTACCCATCCAGGCTGTCACATTGTAAAGTTTGCAGATGATACAGCGGTGGTGGGATGCATCACAAACAATGATGAGTCCAGCTACAGGCAGGAGGTGGAACACCTGGAGAGCTGGTGCAGAGAGAATAACCTTCACATCAATGTGAAGAAGACAAAGGAGATGATTGTGGACTTCAGAAGGAACAAAAACACCTACACCCCCCTGAACATAAGAGGATCTGCGGTGGAAGTGGTCTCCAGCTACAAGTACTTGGGTGTACACATGAATGACAACCTCAGCTGGAGCAACAACACCACCAGCCTGATCAAGAAAGCTCATCAGAGACTCTACTTCCTCAGACGGCTGAGGCGAGCTGGTCTGGGAAGCTCAGTCCTCACCTCCTTCTACAGGTGTGCAGTGGAGAGCATCCTGTGCTCGAGCATCAATGTGTGGCATGGAGGCTGCACAGCTGCAGAAAGAAAAGCTTTGCAGAGAGTGGTGAAGGCTGCACAGAAATCTGTTGGAGTCAGTCTCCCCACCATCACAGACATCTACACCTCCAGATGCAGGAAGAGGGCCACCTGCATCATGAAGGACCCCACCCACCCAGCACACACACTTTTTGCCCCACTCCCCTCAGGAAGGAGGTTAAGGAGCATTAAGTGTAGAACCACTAGACTGAGGAACAGCTTCTACCCTGAGGCTGTTAGACTCATGAATCTCTAACTAGAATAATCACTGTGAAAAACCATATCATGTTGCTGCTGATCTGTTTCAATGTTGATGTGTTCATGCGTGCACATCTGCTCACAGACTCATGTTCATGTTTGTGGTGATGTTCAATGTTTTATGTTATGAGTGCTTAGTGTATATTTAGTTGATGTTTTTCTTAGTTCATATCTTAGATGTTATCACTGTTTTTCTTATACATTTTATTGTTGGATGTAACTGGGACCCTGTGTACATAATTTCGCTCCACCACATGTACCACATGAGGTGCGAATGACAATAAAGAAACTCTGACTCTGACTCTGACTCTGAAAAACGTCCGGATCTCTATCCAGTTCAAGGTTACTGGTGGAAATGAATAAAGTAGTCAATGTCACCGTTCCAACCTGCGCATTTGATCTGGGAAGAGTAGCAGTGGAGCTGGATTAATGAAGAATCCTGGTTGTGATCCGTTGCCTCAGAGAGTGCAAGACGTTCTGAAGCCAGAGGTGGCGCAACAAAGTAATGGCGCAGTGTTTTTGCTGTCCACTTGCAGTTTATCCACTGAAATCCAACTTGTAGCAACAAACCTGAGCAACCTCTTTGTAGGTGCGGTCTGGTTCTGTGCCTATATTTTGTGTGCATGTGCTTTACTCGATGCATGGTGTTCTTAAAGATCCCTGTAAAGGATGAAAGGGAAGCGAACGTGTAACATCTGGGATGACGTGTGCTGGTGATTTTCACTCTGCGGACTCTGGAGAACGTCCATGTTTTTTTTTCCTCTGTGAATTTGAAATAGTTGCAGAATGCTGAGCAGAGTTCCTGTCGGTTAGCTGCACAGTCAAAATGTGCTGAGGAGACGTTCTGCCTGCTGTTGTGAAACGGGCTTGAGCCAGAAATATTGTCAAGTCAGCGCCTTCAAAGCGTCCGAGCTTCCTGGTGACTGTGAAACTTTGAGGAACTCTTTCGTTTAAAATAATGAGCTCCTGCTGAACTCTTTATTTACAGCCATAATCCTCGTTTTCTTTTGGAACAAGTCCACAGTTGCATGAAAGATTTGACGGTTGTTTTATGCCAGACAGAGACATGGATTGACCCTTGGTCACACAACCTGGGCATGAACCTGCAGCTTCAGGACTACAAGACTGCAGCACCGACCACTGAGCCACCGCTGCTCCCAACCACTTGTTTATGTCTTTCTGTGGCTTTTAAATCCAGTTAAAATGATCCACAACACATTTGTTGGCTCTTTTTATTAGGCACAGATTGGTCAGAGCTGGACGGCTCTGAAAGCAACGCAGTGATACTCTGAATTTTATTCTAATAATTCTTTGAGCAACACGAGCTTTTCTTGTAGTTGTTTGCATATGAAGATTGTGCTCCACAAATGACTCAGAAAATTATGTATTTTGTTCGGTGTTTATTATTTTTTAAACACAAACACAACAGAACAGAGAACGTAAAAGAACAAAACAAGAAACGTTTCAGCACAAAAAAAAAAAAAAACTGTCCAGATGACCTGACTGAAAATGTTGGATTGTATACCTGGATTATTGAGCATGGACTTTGTTGTTTTCAACCAGTTTGACAACACTGTCAACAAGAAAGAGGGCCGGCAATGGAGGAGGGGGCGTACCAAAGAGACCATCTTATCACAAACAGAACTGGTTTGTTCCACTTTGGAGTAAGCTGTTGGGGGAAGAATCAGTTTTGTTGTGCGTTTCCTTGACTGATGAAGCCTTCTGGATCAAAGGCGAAACGTTTCAGCGCAAAAAAAAAGAAACTATCCAGATGACCTGACTGAAAAATGTTGGATTGTATACCTGGATTATTGAGCATGGACTTTGTTGTTTTCAACCTGTTTGACAACACTGTCAACAAAGAAGAGGGCCGGCAATGGAGGAGGGGCGTACCAAAGAGACCATCTTACCACAAGCAGAACTGGTTTGTTCCACTTTGGAGTAAGCTGTTGGAGGAAGAATCAGTTTTGTTGTGCGTTTCTTTGACTGATGAAGCCTTCTGGATCGAAGGCGAAACGTTTCAGCACAAAAAAAGAAACTGTCCAGATGATCTGACTGAAAAATGTTGGATTTATTAAGAATGGTTTGAGATACCTTCAATAATTATGTAACTATTTTTAGTGATTCAAAACCATCAAAGTCCATGCTCGATAATCCAGGTATACAATCCAACGGTTTCCTTCTGGATGGAAGGTGAAACGTTTCAGCACAAAAAAAAAAGAAACTGTCCAGATGACCTGACTGAGAATTGTTTGATTTTTAGTGATGATGTGATGCACAAAACGTTTTGAACGTTTCAAATTCAATCAAAAAGACAGAGTCTCTGCAACACACACAAGGAAACTGAGAATCCTTTTGAACATTTCAAGACTTTTTCGAGACTCCATCGTGAATTCTGTTTGCCAGCTAGTCTCCATCAGTCTCAGCCCAGTTCACTATCACCTTAAACTGCGAGTGTAATCAACAATAAGCCTGTTTGTTCCCGTCTGTACCGTGCAGCTCACTCTTGTTGACATGATCATCTACGGAGCTCTGACAGCTGCCAACTGTTCTATCGTCCGCTGGTCTCGAGTCCTGCGTCCGCTCCTGTTGGTCAACGTCACAGAAGGACGGCAGGTAAGAACCAGAATCCAACAATCAGCAGGTTGACTGCTTTTTTGTTGACCTTGTTGGAAATTGTTTTATGTGCTTCCTTTTCTCTGGTCTTAGTAGTTCGGTTCTGCAGGACCTCTTTCAGGGAACTGCAACAGGCATCATGAAGGCAGAGGAACATACCTTTTACTTTTACCTTGAGGTTTGATTAGATCTTGTTCTTACTGGCTGAAGGTAATATATTTATCAAAGAAAACGTTAGCCTAAATTGGAGTCGGAATTAAAATGTAAAACTTCAGACGCATTAAAAGCTGAATAAAGATGTTGGGTTGGAGGTCAGCCATGACAGTTCTTCACAATCCACTGTTTTTATCCAGGTGAACAAATTGACCCTAACTGACGCTCTGCTTTAGTTGTAATGAGTTAAGATGGTAGACACAAGTTGTAAGATGATGTTGAACCTGGTCGGCTTTAACAACTTTAATTTGCTCTGGACAATGAGTTTGTGTTCTTCTTAGGTAAAAGCTAAAGAGACTCTTTTGCTGTGTAATGAATTGTGACAGGGACTCGGAAATTCAACCTCGCACGAGTGAACAAAAAATATGTAAAGTTTTATCAGGAGGAGAAAGTCAGCTGTGACTCTGTAGAACTTGATCACGGGTGGAGAAGCCGGAGCTGCGACGACGTCAGAGGGAAGGGTTTGGACGGATCACGTGATACGCGAGCGTAACCTGGAAGGTCCGACAAACTCTTCAGAGCTCGGTTCTGAGCGCTCGACACCTAGAGTCCGGGTGAGAGTTCCTGGTCAAAAATACAAGCGTGGGCCATTCACACAGAGGCAGGAAAAGCAAAACTTATCCGAGGGTTTAGCTGGAATCATGGTCTGAAGGCAGAGCAGACTAAAGGTGAGGAACCCATGTCATGAAGTAGGTCAGGAACAAAAATGCTGAATACTTGAAGCATGAGGCGATCAGACGGTCTGGCAGAGATGAGAGCGCTTAAAAAGCACAGCGCACCAAACAAAAAGTACAGCTCACAGGTGCAGCAGGTGCTAAATTATACATAATTTATTTTAAATAAACAATCCATGCTGCTCGTGCAGCTCACTCCATCAATCAGCCAATCATGTGTCGTACAATCTTACGTTGAAAACCCGTGAAAGAGTGAGTCCACGAAAGTGGAACCTGGAAGTATTGAGGGACTACTGCACTCTGGCTGCATTTCTGGAGGGGCAGCCTCCACCAAGGTAACGGTCACTCATGCACACCCGTCTATTTGTTCATGTGACTGTAGACGTGCATGAACTTTGACCTTCCTGCCTCTGTGTGTTACAAGCAGTAGTGTAAAAATGTCAACAAGGTGCAACAATCTCACCTTGAATGCCTCCATGAGACAAATCTACCATAATTTGTCATTTTCTGTAAAATAAGATTTTTAAAGGAGTCACTTGACATCCTTTCTCTGACTTAAAGACATTGAACTTGTAAATATCTAACATTTTACGTACTGTATTTTTTGTCCTATAAGTTGCGGGTTTTTGCATATTTGCATACCCTGCGTCTTATAGGCCAAAGCCACTTATTTATGTTTTTCTTCCCATATTTATAAACCAGCTTTTGGCTGAGATATGACCGTTTTCACTCATTCTGACTGAAAATATTGAACACTACCATTTTCAGCCACTAAATGGCACTTGAGCAGTATGGCATGCCATTGTATCATGTAATAAGTAAAAGTGGCTATAATTGACACAATTGCTTGCCATAGCCTGCCACCTTCGTCCAGCTCGCCTGGAGCAAACATCAAATCAGCTTCATTTCACTGTGCCGCCCGACAAAATGCAGCAGATTTGACCCTCAGTGCATTTATTAAATAAAAGTTCAACTGAGACACATATTTACTATAATGTCGAGGAAACAAATAATTGTTTTTAAGTGTTAATCTTGTTAAATTCTTGTTAAAATCTTCCCGTGCATGCTCCTGCGGCCACCATTTGGCAGCCAATCGATTTTTGACACACCGGCCACATTTCCAGGTTGTGGGCGGTGACGTGTAATAGATGTGATGTATTTATGGATTTTTCCACTTTATTAGACATATTTGGACTGATGCGACTTATAAGACGGTACGACGTGTACGGCGTAATATACAATAGTCATTTTTTTAATTTCTCAAAATTATATTGAATTTATGAAAAACCTTTGGCCACTCATATTTACCCTTATGAAACGTTCAAATGCAAAGGATGCTATTTGATGAGGAAGCTTCAGTCAGGCACATGATGAGCTCCAAATGGGTGGATGAGTTATTAGGATTCTTAAATAGACTGTAATTACATAAAAGCAAACTTTAAATCGTTATCCTGATAACATGACCTTCGAATTTCATGATGTGAACCACAGATAATGGATGTTGCATCATAAACATGCTCAGATCCCTGCATTCTGCTCATCTTATCTCTGCTCTTCAAACTCTGGAGTGCTTGGATGAAACTTCCTGTTGCTAAACATCAAAGTGCTTCAGCTTACGAGCTGATGGCGCCTGAACGCATCGTTCATTAGTGTTCATGTGGATAAGGACGGAGCGTTTGTATCTGCAGAGAGGAGCAACATGTTTGTTTGTTTGTGTTCAGCTCCGCAGAGCGTTCAGAAGCATCCGGAATGCTCTGCCTCAGATCTTCTACGTCTTCCTGCTCTTCATGTTCAGCCTCCTCGTCTTCTCCCTCATGGCCCTCAAGCTGCTGGGCAAACGGTAAGACGGCCTCCTCGTTACAGCTAAATTATACAAGAGTTGCAATTTTTTATTTTGTTGATCTCCGCCCACCAGACATTCTGGCTTTTTGAACTGAAGGACACATTTATGTATTTAAATCCTACTTCCTGTTTTCGTTGCTGAGAGCCCGCTCGCTGACGCCATCCTCACGCCCGAGTGGTGACCGATCGAGCAAACCTTTGTTGTGATTCCAGTTAAAAAAAGTTGCATGTTGGATTCATCTAAAACAGTTGCAAAAAGTCTTAAAACTTAAAGGAACAAATGTCTAAACTGTTTTATTTGAACAGCTTCTCAAACAGTCGCCAGATGAACTGCAGTAGTTGTGTACAGATATTTGTATTTTCTGCCTGATATTTGAACAAAAACTGCAAAACTTCTCAAATTAAGGAGTAAAATACCAAGCTGCTTCCAAAACTTCATTATTTATTAAAACAGTTTTTTTTGCTTTTAATAAAACTTGAATAAATTTTCAGGAATGTTTTTGAGTTATACATACCGTGTATATATAATTTTTCTCCACAGAAACCTGAGGACAATAGAGGGACTTCCATACTTCACCAACTACCTGGAGATTGTGTTTGACCTGTACGTCCTCGTCACGACGGCCAACAGCCCCGACATCATGTGAGGAACCAACAACTTTCATTAAACTGTCGCTTTGACAGCGATGGCTGCTGGGAAGTTTCAGTGTTGTTTGGGTTCGTTTTTAAAATTTATATTGGAGGGAGTGGTGGAACAGTGGTTAGGGAAGGCAAGCCTGTGATAGGAAGGTTTCCGGTTCGACTCCCTGGACCGACAACATCAAAAATGTGGATGGAAAAGCTGCAACACCCACACCTGCTTCCACTCTGGACCCTTGAGCAAGGCTCCTAACCTCCACCATCTGCTCCCCCGGGCACCCTAGACTGCAGCTCTCTGCTCCACACAGAGGGCTGTGGTAGCTCGGTGGTCTGTGGTTGTGTCCGGAAGGACATCCGGTGTAAAAACAATAAAGTTTTCGTGTGAGTTAGTTCACTGTGGAGACTCCTGAAGAAGGGAGCAGCCGAAATAAAAAAAAATTATATTGGCATCCATCCTGCCAACATACTTTTACTTTTCTTCTTTCAGCTGCTCCCGTCCTCAGGTGTTGCCACGGCGAGCTAACTCTCGCCGAGATCTGTCGGTTGTTTTACACTGTACGTCCTTCCTGACTCAACCACCGAGCACTGTCGGACCAACACCGCTGTCGAGACATTCTGTTCTTTTTAGCCATTTAGGTTTATCTGGCGCTTCTTTACATTTGTCTTCCTACTTTAAGAACCATTGTATGTTCTGATGATGAAATGAGTTATCTGCCTTTAACCCATCACACCTGGGGTACACCCAGGTGGAGCAGTGGACACCTGGGGAGCAAATAGGGACTAGGTGTTTTGTTCAGAGACACCACGACATGTGGGAATGGCTGGGAGTCGAACCGCGACCTTCTGGTCCCAAGTCGGCTGCCCTGCCTCTACCCCTTCTCATTTCCTGTAAATCGTCCTAACTAAACTAGGCATTGCTCTAAATGTTTGTACTGAAGCTCTGAGAAACATTTATTAGTGTTAAGACTAAAGTGGGAGCTATGAGCAGCTTGAAGCAGAAGAATCTGTAACTAACAACAAAGTCCATGCTCAATAATCCAGGTGTACAATCCAACATTTTTCAGTCAGGTCATCTGGACAGTTTCTATTTTTGTGCTGAAACATTTCGCCTTCGATCCAGAAGGAAACACAACAAAACTGATTCTTCCTCCCAACAGCTTACTCCAAAGTGGAACAAACCAGTTCTGCTTGTGATAAGATGGTCTCTTTGGTACGCCCCTCCTCCATTGCCGGCCCTCTTCCTTGTTTGTTTTCAACCAGTTTGACAAGACTGTCAACAAGAAAGAGGGCCGGCAATGGAGGAGGGGCGTACCAAAGAGACCATCTTATCACAAGCAGAACTGGTTTGTTCCACTTTGGAGTAAGCTGTTGGGGGAAGAATCAGTTTTGTTGTGTGTTTACTTGACTGATGAAGCCTTCTGGATCGAAAGTGAAACGTTTCAGCACAAAAAAAAGAAACTGTCCAGATGACCTGACTGAAAAATGTTGGATCTGTAACTAGTTTTCTCATTTTACATCTTTGTATTCAAAACTTATTCCTGCTGCTGACTGAAATATAACATTTCATTCTAAACATCTAGTGTCTTTGCCAAGCAGGTTATTGTTAGTTTTGGGTTTTGGAGGCTGATTACTTCTGCTTGCACCATGGTTCAGTTTTATATTAAAAAAAATAAAATCAGACACGTTTTATTTTTCTTATCTGAATTAATCTGAAGTAGTCGTACTAGAATGGTCATTTCTAAACAAATTAAAACTACATTAACATTTCACATTGTACCACCACAAACTGGAAAGAAATAAACTGGACCTGTTTCTTTTATCATGAATTGTTTCTCAAACAAGAACATTCTCAACAAACCAAATGAAGCACTTTCTGTCATTCAACCTACAACCACCTTTTTCTTAATTTCCAGTAGATAAATGTTAGAAATCATTCCTGTTGTGCACAGTTCATTTTGAATATTTTGTTTTGGCTTTGCATTATGTTCCAACAGATTCACTTGATGAATTGAGACAAATATTTCTTGGAACATAAGATGTAAGGTTTGGATTTAAATGTGTGGTTTATACACATTTATCTTAATGTATGTATGTTTGTGTTAATTATATTAACATTTAGGGAACATTTTGGTCCTTCTCCTAAAACAAATGTCCCTGCAGAGGAAGGGAAGCTGCTGAGATGTAGCAACATTTGAGCCAAGAGTTGAGCTGATCTGTTTTTTCTGCTGCTTCCTGTTGGCAGGATGCCAGCATACAACTCCAGCACTATTTTCATCATTTTCTTCATCGTGTACATCCTCATCAACACGTACATCTTCATGTCCGTCTTCTTGGCGGTTGTTTACAACAACTACAAAAAATACCTGAAGGTACATCTTTTTTCTTCCTTAACAACAGAAATACATTTTGTCCAGAGTCAGTCGTTTATACACTGCACCTTCTTTACATTGTTGTTTTTTGAGTTATTTATTAAAACCCATGTAAAATCACCTGAAGCAGCTGTCACAAACATTGATATTTCATATAATTTATATTATTTTTATTAAAACATACTGTTGATAAGGTTTTTTTTGTCCTAAAATGTTAACCTGTTTTTTCTTTCTTTGTTAAATGAAACAATTTTCATTTTATCCTGATGCTTGCTCAATAATCCAGGTAGAAATATCTAAAAATGTTAAGTCAGGTCCTCTGGACGTCCAAAAAATAAAAATAAAAAAATTGTAGAAACGTTTCGTCTTTCATCCGAAAGACTTCTTCAGTCTTGCTGAAAGACTTCTTCAGTCCTGCCGAAAGACTTCTTCAGTCCTGCCGAAAG